ATTTGCTATGTATGCTATAAAATTTGCTAACATTGCGATCTGAATAGCTATGCATACTGGCTGCTGCAAAAAAAGTACTTAGAATTGCTACTGCCCCTTTATTAAATAAACAAACAACCAATTAAAGGGGTCCTATTACGCTTTTTCACTTTTTCAACTTTAGTTAGTCTGTAATGTTGCTGTTTGAGCATAAAAAAAGATCTGCAAAGTTACAAAGCTCAAAGTCCAATTCAAAAGGAGCTATTTTATTTAACAAATCACTTTTCAAAAACTACAACGAACGACTCGTTTGGACTACAACACATATTTTCCGGTATTTATTATATCACAAATACCGACGAATGGGAAGAGATCTGGTTGAGCTGCACTAGAGAAGGCAACGAGTGTTATCACTATGTCGGAGATGCGCTAGCTTTCCCCAGGCAGACGAACTTAGAGTGGCTACAATCATCCGGGTTTAAATCGCGCTCAAATTGATTTGATTTTGACGCAATATTTACACTGAAGCTCGCAGGCGGCTATGGTAAGAGGCATGACATTTCCCGACCAGGCGCTGAGTGGTGCCAATCACTACACACACTGGCCCAGCTAACCAATCACTGCACATTTCGTATTTCAGAAGGTGGGCCTTCATTTGATACAGGAACTATTCGAGCCGTTCGTGCCAGACTGGGGAGAGAGGTGTTGTAATAATGTAAAATATGTGGAAAATGTTTTTCGAACAACCTAGTATGACAGCCTGTTCTAGTACACCCCCAAAACAAAATCAAGACTTTGTAAAAGAGCATAATAGGACCCCTTTAATGCTTATTTCGCTTTGAAGTGTTCTATAAGCCCTGTTGAATTGAATAGCAAAGTAATAAAATGCCTATTTCACCTAAACGTTCACTACCATCCAAGCGTTATCTTATCACTGAAATTTCATGCAACTACAGTTACTTACCCTCCGTGAATTATCACCATAGTATATACTGTATAAAAAACAGGTTATCACTGAAATTTTATGCAACTAAGTACTTTCTGCTTCCGTTCTATATTAGCAGCAATAATTGGATTGTCATGCAGACTGCTGCTAATATTTCTAACGTAGCATCTGAATTTTGCTATGCATGCACGCTGCTGCTATTAAAATTCACTAAACTAGCGATCTGAATAGCTATGCATACTGCAGCTACAGCTACACAAAGGTACTTAGAATTGCTATAAGCATCTTTATTAATAAGCAAACGCAATCAAATAATGCCTATTTCACTTTGAAGACTTCACAATATCTACTGTAAGCCCTGTTAAAAATAAGCAAAGAAATAAAATGCCTATTTCACTTTAAAGAGTTACTTACCCCATGCGTTATCACTGAAATTTCAAGCAACTTAAGTACTTTCTGCTGCTGCTGCTATATTAGCAACAATAATTTGACTTCCTGCTGCTAATATTATTTCTAACATTGCAGATGAATTTGCTATGCATGCTGCTTCTATTAAATTCGCTACATGCGATCTGAATAACTATGCATACTTCTGCTACAGCTGCACAAAGGTACTTAGAAGTTAGAATTGCTATAAGCCCCTTTTAAATAAATGAAACGCAAATGATGCCTATTCGCTTGAAGAGTTCACATACCATCCATCTTTAGTCACTGAAACTTCAGCAACTATGGTCTACCAACTGCTGCTGCAACTAAAAGCATAATTTGAGTTGCTATGCATACTGCTATTAATAATTCGCTAATAACGCAATCTGAAATTACTGCTGCTACACTCCATGAAATTACTAGAATTGCTGTAGCCCATCCATGCATTATCACTGAAATTTCATGCAACTAAAGTACTTTCTGCTGCCCCTGCTGTGTTAGAAATAATAATTGGTTGCTATGCAGACTGCTGCTAATATTATTTCTAA